GTAGCTGCTTTGTGTAAGAATTTTCACTTTAGCAGGGCCTGGATGTTAGCAATGCTCCATCAGTATGTTTGTCTCATACAGAGGCGAAGTCCTTACTAGGAAAATAGCACCATTCTTTAAATGTATTTGACTGGATTGTGGCCTGCCATAGCAAAATGACTGATTGACTTTAAAATATATTCATCTGACTTAACTGATATCATCCCATCACGTGGACCGGGCAAAAACTGACGAGGGTTGGGGTGGACTGCGCTGGCATGCTGCGGGCTTTGTTTGGTTGCAGCCCGCGGAGGTTAATTTAACTGCTGTTTCCCGGGTGACACCTTCAGTCTGTGACAGGCCTGCAAGGGCTGGGTGCTTGTGGCACTTTTCATGATACCCCACTGATCTGCAGTTGGGTCCAGTTCAGGTGCATCTCACCACAGTAAACTCCCTGAAGGCCCTGGTGACCTTCTTTTATGAGTGATTATGCTCATATTTACTGTAGTGATATTAAATAGTGACACGTGGTCGTTTAGCTTGTCAGCTGATGATTTTATATGTGAAATTTCAATAGGAAACAGACATAAGCTTGAGGTGTCGTGCCTATGTGTCTAAAAGCATTCCAGGAGCTATTTCCTTTTAATTAATACACATTAAGATGGGTTTACAGTAATTTTTAAAGTTGTCTTGCTTTGATATGATCAAAGTCATATTGCAGGGTCTGGCTGCGGAGAGTTTCTGCTTTGCTCTAAGCTGAAATATGACCACAGGCTGGCATACAGTATGTCAGTTTGTGCACCGTGCTGGAGACTGACGAGGGGGCTCACCCTCACAGATAGCCGGCTGTTGTCCTAAAACTGCAGCACATTGCCATTATTGCTCCAGGACAGAAAATCAGGGACAGCAAAGGACAATGAAGTACATTTGTCTGCTGACAGCAACCCACTCTTAACAAACAAGCGCTGAAATTCAGAGGACTTCAGTCACACAAAGGAATTATGCAGATTTTTTTGTGTGGTGATACGCTACAGTGAAGGTTTTGAAGCATTATTTATGCAGGGGAGTGTTTCTACAGTCATTAGGTCAGCTATGCGCTTCAATAGTGCATCTTTGCTGAGGGAATCCAAACATTAGATTAGATGTAATTGAGAGAAATGAAGCCATGCTTCAAGCAGTTAAGCCTTTTGCATTAAAGCATACACTGAAATGCTCTTTGTTAATCTCTGATCAAGTGGGATACTACCTCTCATGAAGAGCTTAGTAATGCTCATTAAGGCATTACACAGTAAATGCCTGAATAATTATGAATTCCATTTTGCCTCCCTATATAATCACACAGTTTACCAAACAATGAATGGCATTAAAGTGAATGAACTTTTGGCTTCTAAAGGAGCATGACAAATGAGTGGTGACGTTACACATGTCAGTTTTTAATCCTGAACATACTCTTCACCCTCCTGGTCATGCAGTACATATGTCAGGGATAGGGACAACAGCCTCCTGCCAATGTCTCATACCAGGCTGAATCTGTTTGAATCAGACTCATGCATGAATGGACATTTGTGCACGCAGACTCTATTGCGCAGCATAGTGCTCTGATTATTTTTTAATATGACAATTTCCAGGCGCACACACGGATGCCTCTTTATAGGCACTTATTAGTGTTGATCACCGGCCCATGTGGTCACACAGCTTTTTTCCACGATCCTGCAGGATACTGTTGCTGTATTTTATAAAGGTGTGACATTGACACCATATGTCAGTGCTCCTAGAAGTCACACATTAAATGACAATGTCTATTACATGACAATGAATACCACCAACAGCCATCCCACCTAACATTTTGCCACATGCCATATTTTCCTATTATTCAGGATTAGAAACAGGTGTTTGTGTGTGCATGCATGTGTGTGTGTGTGAGTGTGCAGATGTATTAACACAGCCATCGAATGCCCTGAGTAGATCTGTATTTGTTTTTTTGACAAGTGGTCCTGTGTGCTATGTGTGTGCTTATGCGGGTATGTGTGCGTGACAGCTGAAGAAGAGGACTGTATTTGTGGAGGAACAGCATGGCTGCAGAGAGGAGTGGAGATCCTGAGGGAGGCCTAATGGTTCCACTCCTTCCTGCACAGAGATAAAGACTCATAATAAGCGTGTATGCTCACCATCTGGCCCTGTGCATGTGGCCCTTATGGAGGCGAAAGCAGCACAATCTGTAAACGATCAGGAGCCATGGCGCTCCCCCTAGAGAGGCCGCCATGCAATCAAGGTGACAGATGGCAGCACCACTGCTGTGGCCTCATGGAGGAGATCAAAATCACCTTCAATAAACTCTGACTGGAATGGGCACAAGCCCCTCAAAAAGTCAGTTTGTCAGTCAAACTGTGGCAGCTTGCTGAAACAGGGGGAACACACAGCGGTCCGTCCGTGCACCGCCTGATTTCCATATTTTCCATGTGACTGAGCCTGAACTGTGATCTTTCTCCAGTTGTCCTCTCGACTCGTGCCGGCGTGGGCAAGCTGGCTGCCAGGATGAGCAATGCTACTGGGGGAAAATTGAGAACATGATGCTGCTAATGTGGGACAATATCAGCCGATGGTGGTAGTAAGACATTAAATAACTGACTCGTAATCTATTTTTGACACGACAGGACCCCCTGTGATTTGCCTCTATGTGCTTATCTAACTATAGATTTACTCACACCAAGGCAACCACACAAAGCCTGACACAACTGTGCAGCATATAATACAACTCATTGTTGTAAAATAGCCTTACAGTGTGAGGAGCATTTGTCCTGAATTTCTTCCCTCTGATAATTTTTTGTTTAAGCATCTGATGAAGCAGCATGGTCCGGCCTCCGCACCTTGCCTGCATGTGCGTGTTTGTGTCCTGAGCATGGAGACAGAAAATGCTTGGGAATGCTATTTCACACATCCCCTTCATCTGATGTGCAGCTTCTGTCAGTGATGTGAGAAAAACAGCCTGACTCTCCAAGCTTTTTTTGCACCAGTGCAAAAGTTCAAAATTGAAAGCCATCTGTTCAAAAAAAAAAAACAAAAAAAAAAACTAATCTAGGCAGGGAGAGCTGCTTCCAAGGCGGCCCTGATTGGATACGTTTCTTGTCTTTGAACTCCCTGCCACACGGTTCACAATCAGCTCAGGATATTGTCATTTGCAAAAATGTTGGGCAAAAACAAACCCAGTAAGTCTTTCCATTAGTACTAAATTTTTCTGCTATGCTTTTTGAACTTTGCTTTTAAACATTGCTCTGCCTTTATCTTATAAATTCAGCTGTGGGCATTTTTATTGTACATAGTATATCTGGATTCAGGGTCCTAACCATCTTCACTCTTTAGTTCTAATAAAATGTGAGGCCTTAAGTACTTTCACAGAAAATCAATTGTCCTCTCTTCCACTGCTGCCCTTAAGCACTCACTTAGTTAATTGCCGCACTTATTTGATTAATTGGATGTGTTCCATTGTAGTCTCTCTTTACCTCCTATGTTTTATAGAGGTGTTTCAGAGTACTCTTAATCATCCACTTTTAAACATCTTACCAATGTTAAATATGTGCACTTTAACTAATAATTAGATCAATTACACTAATTAGTTTCATAAGTTGAACTGTAAAACACTGAAGTGGCTTTTATGTCTCATATATAGAGTGTGCTATCTTTGTGACTACAGTTTTAAATCTGCGACCTGTGGCTGGTTTGGACGTTGTACGAGAACATCAGAGCTCTCATCAGGTCATCACGCTTTAGGTTAAAATAATAGTACTTAAAATTCAGCTAATCTCAGTTGGTTTTATTTTGCTGATAAATATCAGATGTAAGATTAAAGTCCATAAAGCAGAATTATGTCTGATACTGTTGATGTGCTTCAAACTGACTCCTACGTAGCTAAGTTCTAAATATGGCTCTGTATAGTAACCAGTTATCGATCCCTTATTTATTCCATAATTTATTCCAACATCTCTGCACCATTGCAGAGATGTTGCTATTGTCTGTACTGAAAAAGAAAAAGACTGAAAAAGACAGCCTTAAAATAGGTACACTTTTTAGTTTTGCAATTAATTGTAACACAAAGTGACAAACCTTTTAATTTATTTACTCGTTTTTCAGATATAGAAATCAGTAAGTTTAAAAGTAAACACCACCTACTGGCTATTTGTTTAAAATGTGAATTTGAACAAGTGAAAGTTATTGTGAAATTAGGAGATTTACAGCGTTTTAATAACGTAGCCTTTAATAAAGCCACATAAAAGGCCGAGAACAGATTCCACACTCCTCTGACTCTATTTTAAACTGAAGTATCATTGATATAGTAAAAAAAGACCAGATGTAACCTGTATCTTTAAAAAATTAACAATCTTTATGTGCAATATTTTCCAACAGGTAATTTGCATAATAGTGAGCAGATGAAACATCGGTATCAAACTGACTGTAAACTTCTCTCCATTCTAAGTCTAGATGCATGCTTTATTATTCAGGTGAGGACAGTTTGTTGCTAGTTCTGATCTAACAACTCTGTGCTTCACTCAGAGTCATAGGAATCAATGATCATGACAAAGGTATATCTTTGGACTGCCAGGACTTCAGTCTTTCTGAGATTAGTTTTAGCAGGCAACACACTGAAGCCATAATTCCTTGGGATGGCTGTTGGTGTATGGCATAACACAAACCATTTAGCCAACAAAGACACAAAAATTATCTCTGCCTTTACATGCCGAGCTGCAAAAACATATCTCATACTCAGGGGTTTGGCTTTTTTAAGGACCAGTGAGATAAAAATCACCTCTTGATAAACATTTAGCTTTAACTTGCTAGTAAAATCAAAGCTATTACCTTTAGCTTTTTAATAAGTGTCCTTTTTTTAATGACTAATATTGTGTGAACTTTTAATACAAAAACAACAACATTAAAAATAACTCTGACCTATGAAAATAGCAGACAGATGATAAAAAACCAAAAATAGCAAGATTAAATTTTACCAATCCTTCCACGTTTTCTTTTGAGGGTCTGGGAGTGGGCGGGGCTTGTCAATTAGCTCACCGTTTAGCCAGAGCAGAGCCGTTTTAATCTTTTAATTTTCTGAACTTCTGGTTGGAATAAGTTTAGAAAAATGTCCCTTAACAGCACACGTTTTTATTTTTGTGTTTTTCTGTTTTTTCTGCAACATGATAAAGTCCCGCTTAGTTACAGCAAATACCAGGCAGTCCAGGTAAGCCAAGTTTCGACTATACACTGCTGTCGTTCTCACGCCTGCTTCAAACGTGTATCTCAGATAAACACTCTTCTTTTTTGTCAAGACTAATACACATTTAGATTTCTTTCCTATTAAATACAACCTCCCGTTCTTCTCGCCTCTTTTTACGCATATGTCTCATTTAAAGTGGAGCCCATATTGTATAAAAACATTACTGTACTGTCCTTGAGCTTCTGGCAAGTCATGCGACGCCACGTGTTTATCGTTGTAAACGAAGGGTTGCTCTTTTGATGCTGTAAGCATTTTACTTGACATTTCTCAGAGTTCTCGTTTATTCTGCAGTGTTTCTGCTATACTTTAGTTTCATGAAATAATGCATTTTGCACAAGGAGTACAGTTATGTGCATGTCTATTACCTTCTTCTGTAGGTACTGCTGAGTATTTTGCATGATGACAAGAGGCTGTAAAACATAAAGAAGCTCATGTTTCCTAAGGCCTTGGTTGATCAGAGGCTCATGCCTCACATCCTGTAAGCCTGTCTATGAAAATGCAAGTGTTTTTGGTTGGATCTAACAATATGCAAAATAGTCTTCCACTTGCTTGCCTGAAGTCCACTCCCACAATGCCTTTGGGCACAAGCCCCACTCACTTATATGTTTTCTTGTTACATGGAGGGAGCAACTCTGCTGGTTGCAGGTCCACACTGCTGAAATTTGTGTGTTTTGTGACTCAGTTTTTTGTGAATCAGGAGGATTGGACAGAGAACTGTTTTCAAGAAGTCATAAAAGAAAAAGTCAGAGCACTTTGAAAAGCACAGTGCCTTTGAGCACATTGGACACTGGCAGGTGCTTTCTGTTAAAACTAAACAAAACTAAACACAACATTTAGATTAATACTTGTTTGGGAGTTTTGTTTGTACTTGAAATAGTAGAACGAGTGAAGTTAATATGATCATTGTGGGTCTGCTTCACTCTGTGTGTGTGTGTGTGTGTGTGTGTGTGTGTGTGTGT